AACATTAAGAGTCCTGACTGATAGACTTCCATTAACTGAGACAAGTTGAGGACGTCTTTATCCCTCGAAGCCTGAAATTGCCTAATTTATAAAGTATTTAATGATGTTTCCAAGATAAACCCTCGCCTGGCACCCTGGGCTCTATCTGATTGCCTGCTATATTTCTACCTCTAGAAATGATCTGTCAAACCGAGAAGGATGTCGTTGGGATGCAGCCTCCATGCCAGTGAAAGAATTATGCTCTCTGCTTACCCTTTGTCATGTAACTCTTGAATAAATTTGGGTTCGACAGATTAAGGGCATAACCAAGAAATATTGCTTGGGATTTAACTGATATCTGGGTTTGTTCATTGAATCACTTCCTTTGACAGCCATGTGTCGAGGACTCACCGTGAGCTGGAATCCCTGCTAGGCCCTGGGTGTAGACAGAGTGGTAAGTAAAACAGACCTGCTCTTTACCCTCATAGGGGTTAGAGGCTAATGGGGAAGATAGACACTGAACCAGTAACCAATATTCACACAGATACACAGGGCATTTATACACTTAGATAACTGTATAAAAGACAAGCACCGAGTACATAGAGAGTGTTGCAGGGATTTCTAACCTACATGAAGTGGTTAAAATAGATCCTTCTAAGGAGATCACTTTAAGCTGAGAGCTGAAGAATGAATTGCTGTTAATTAGGCAAAGAGTGAGGAAACGAATGTTCCAAGGAGGAAGAAAAGCATGAGCAAAAGCCCTGAGGTGTATATGAACTTGACTGCTTTGTATAGCCAGTGAATGAATGAGGGGAAGCTCTGCAGGGCACAGGGTCCCAGGGGCAGGGAGAAGCTCTATATTTTAGCCTAAGGGAAATGGGTGCCACTGCAGGTGATAATGCAAAGCAGGAGAGAGACATGTTCTGAGTTGTGTTTTTAAAAAGATCTCTTTGGTTTATTGTGCAGAGAATGGATCCAAGAGGCAAGGGTGGAAGTGGTGAGACTAGTTAGAGAGTTTTGCAGAAATCCAGGTGAGTTTCTGGGGACTAGGGGTGGTAGCTGTAGTGGGAGAAAGTGGAGACATCCACTTTCAGGTGGCACCTGTGAGGTTCAGGACTGTGGCTCTGTGTTCTGTGGCAGGTGGGAGGGAGGGTCAGGGAGGACCACCAGCCTTCTGCCCTGAGCCACTGGACAGACTGGGGAGGGGCCCCTTGCACACTGAGCGTTCATTTTGAGCTTTGTCTGTGTGGACGTATCCTTCTGCTGGGACAGGTGGAAGTTTCCTCTTCCTGTCTCAGCTGATGGGCAGATCCCAACCCTTTACAGAGACAGATTTTTCTAAGCTTGTCTAGAAGCCAGGCAAGAGTGGGATAGCACACTTCATTGCTCTCCTGGAAGAGCAGGCGGATAAAGGAGGCAGGAAGCCAGTGCAGCGTTAGGGGGTTGGAGGGGAGGGGCTGGGAGGACGTCTGGCCACCCTGTCACTTTCTTTGCAAGACCCCTGGATCGTCGCCTCCTTTGTCCAGGGCCTCTAGTCCTGGGATAACTGAAGGAAGAATCGTGGTCCAAGAACCATCAAGGGCAGACAACCTCTCAGCCCTGGGGACCTCCTAGCACCCTAGTTTTTTAAATTTCTTGAAGATTTTCATTCCGTTGACCTATGTGGACTAGAAGCATAAAGGAGTCTCATTTTCAATTTATTAACTTATTTTCCACAAACTATAATAACTACAAAAAAATTTTTTTTTGGAGGAAACCTTTTTCTTGGTTCCTTGCCCCAGTTCCATTGTTTTTTTTTAAAAAAATATTTTGCATATAGCCTTCTAGTCCTTAATACATTAATCCAGTTCACCAAATTCTAATGAAGTACTCAGGACATACCAGGCCTTGTTCTCAGTACCAGGGATACAGACAATAGCCAAATGGACCAAGGTCAACAAACATGCATATTTCATATTTCAAATAGTTAAGCATACAATATGCCATTTTAATCTTTAGGAATTTAAAATGGTATTTACATTTTTCTAAATTACTTAATGCCCACATGGTATGCTAACATGTTAAGAAAAGAATTTATTAAAATATTCACCAGTTGGGACCACTGTCTCTGCCAACAGACTCTGGGAATGATTCTCACCACTGCATCCCCAGCCGCCGGTACCATGCCCAACAGACAGGAGCAAATATTCAGTAAATATTAGCCGAAATGGCTCTTTGTTTCTAGTTTGGGAATAGCATTAACACAGCAACCATCATCTGTGTACCTAGAGGCTTCTGTTGAATGATTCCCGCAGATAGATCTTTTCAAACTTGCTCATCAAAGTTCTCATGGCAGCAATAGAAATTGAACACTTGGGGGCAGGCGTTGGGGGGGGGCTGTCAATGGTGGCTACAAATACACATGTATTTAAATATAATTAAAACGATGTGGTCCAGGAAAATGTTTGTAACTACAGCATTAAGTCTTTTCTAATGACTTTGGCACATCCCTGAAGAGAGTAGTGCCTCACTTTGGTCTTCACAATAGGTTCAAGATGCATTGAATTGTCTTTTCCAAACATGCTGGAGTCCTGATCACCCAATGTAGAAATAGGGGTTTTACAGATGAGCCAGTGAAGATGAGGTCAAAAGGTAGTCCCCAACCCCATATCTGTCCTTATAATGTGGGGACATTTGGATACAGAGACAGGTGATTAGCAGGTGAGACACCATGTGTACCTAAAGGCAGAGATCTGGTGTAGCACCTGCTGTGGGTGGCTGAACTAGCCCGTGACTGGGTCTGACTCCCCTGCTGAGTGATGTGGCATCTGGCGGCCATGCTACTGGATAGCCCCGGTCTTCTAGGGTTCCAGTGACGGTGTCTCTTGCATGGGAGACAGGCCTTCCCACAGGCCTACGCTCACCTGTTCCTTTGTGACATTACCCTGTTTGGGATAGAATGTTCCATGGAAGCACCTTTTGTGTTTTCCCTTCCCTTACTCTGCCCTTGGGTGTGGCCTTCCTAGGTGTCAGTCAACCTGCTGACCTCAGACATCATGACGCTGGACTCAGCCCCTTGAAACCTGACCCCTTGCCTCATTTGAATGGCTTCTCCTCAATAAAAGGGGTCAGCACATGCTTGCTCTCTCTTTCTTTCTGCGGACACTTAAGGTCAGAGGAGCAGACACAGCACCCCCCCAAAGAAAAAGGTGTCTCTGTCTCTTGTGTGGTTATTTCCTGCAGCCCAGTTCCCCTGGAGTGGCCCTGAGTGTTTTAGTCGTGAGCAACCCGGCAACCTGCAGGTCAAGATAGGCTAAAGTCCGCCAGCAAATGCCTGGAAGCTGGGAGAGGAGGCCTAGAGGATCCCAACCCTGCTAATACCTTGATCTAGGGCTTCTGACCTCCATACCATGAGACACATTTTGGAGTCAAACCATTCAGTCTGTGGCACTTCACTATGGCAGCTAGGTAAGCAAACTTGTACAGATGTTGTGCAATAAACTGTTCCCGCCCCCCCCCCAATCTAGTGGGTGTCCAATGACTCCTTAATCCTGATTTTATTTATTTTTTATTACATAACTTGAGAGAATGAACGCATGCCTGGGAGTCTGTTTGCTTGTCTTCCTTGTCTGTGTATGTCCTGAGGTGGGGTCTTACTCCCACTTGGGAGGTGCCTGGAGTAGTCTGTGCTCATTTGATGAAGGAAAAGATCCATTAACAACCGAATTGGATTTTATTTCATGGAACATCTGTCCAATTAAGTCTGACCAAAGAAAATATGGTCTTCAATACTTACATTTCCTGTCAGCACCTATGACTCCTTGGAATTTGCTGAGACAAGGGCTTTGAGACAATTCTGCAGGGATCATTATTTTACTCTCACCACCTAGACAGGTCTGCTCAGGAGTGCTCATTGTTTTCTAACAGACTGTGCCGTTCCTTAGGGCAGGTATGAGTTCCTACCTCCAGGCTCAGGAGTGCCTGCACATAGTAGGGCTTCATGCAAGATACAAGAAATGAGCCTCGGATAATAAGTTACACCAATAACCTGTTATCATGTGGGGGTCTGAGGAGGTCCTTCCGGAGACTGAGGAGAAAAGAAGGTTCAGAAAAGAGTTTAAGGACGTCAGATCTGAGAAACAGCAGAGATTCATTGTGAAGGGGAGGTTCACATTCCTGGGTGGGGGGCAATCTCAAGGGCAGGATGCTCCTCCAGGGCTGGCAACCAGGCATCTATTAGGGTTCATAATGAGGTGGAATATGTATGACCCAAGAGGCGGGACTTCCTTAGGGGTTGGAAACTATTGGGCAAGATTGTGTTTCACCGTTAGGGGGTCTGGTATGTAGGTTTCAGTCTGTATCAACATCTCTGGCTGTCAGGTGGTGAATCCAGTGATGTGGCCACAGGGTCATGGTCCAATCAAACATTGGCCCCTGGCCTCACGAGATTAATGGTCTTTTTCTGTCCACAACTTGTTCCTGTTTTGCTACATTCCACAAAACTTATGGGGAACTGGAAAGTTACAAAGTAATTTATGGGCTGTTCTGTGCATCCTTACATTTTGGCCCTTTCTGTCCCTTAGGTTCCTTTGTCCAGCTCACAAATTGTTACGAGTTGTTTGTTCTTGTATTTTAATAGGGATATTTTTCTTCAGAAACTCAGTGTTCCCTGAATTTGTATGTGTATCCCTATATCCCTGAATTTATATCTTAGATCTACTTCTAAGAATGTGAGATGACTGAAAACCAATCCTATGATGAGTCCGGGTACTAAGGCTACTTGCTACAACAGATAAAACTTCAAGTCTCAAGTTTGTATCTCACAAGGTCTGATGTGGGTCAGATGGCCAGCCTTTCTTGCAGCTAGAGGGTCTGTCTGTGGGGGATGAGTGAGGAGGGGTCCTTCAGGGCAGAGAGAGAGGGAGCTGGAGGAGTCCCGTTTGCTCTTACCTGGCTCAGCCTGGAAATAGAAGCTGGTGGCCGATGCTCACATTTCTTTGGCCAACACTAGTTACATGACCCCACTCTAACTGGGGCAGGGTGGCCGGGCAGGATGTAGAAGAGTTCAAGTGTGTCTCTGTTGAAGTTTAACAGCAAAGTACCTGGGCCCGTGTGAATGGGTTCATGCAAGTGCAAGGGTATCCATGATGGAAATCTTTTTAAAAAGTAGCCTTGAAAAAAAAAATCAGAGTTTTTACGGTAGAGATTTGGAAACAGTCCACATCTCCCATGGAGGCAACCCTCATGTTCCCCTTTTGGAGGACAGAAAAGGAGATAAATGAACTGAAACCTCCCCCCACCCCGCTGCTGCCCCTGCCAACTGGAAACCAGAACGGAGCCTTAAGGCAGAAAACAAAGTATATTCCTGCACGTTCCTGCGGTCGCTTTGACAGGTGTTCACCTTTGTGTGACTGCATTGGAGTGTGGGTGAGGTTGGCACTGGAGGCCCCAAACTCTGATTGGTGAGTTTCCTACAACTATCTTTATTCCACAGGGGCTTCACGTCAGAGGCACCTGGGTTCCAGAACAGAAAAGTGAAAGGTTGGTCTGCTATTGAGGTGCTGGGACTCTCCCTGAGTGAGCCAGGGTGCCTGGGCAGAGTCTGAGAATCACCAGTGAGGAGGGTCCTTGGCAGGTAGAAGCATTTCTCTGGAGGTGACTCTTGGCATGAAGGAAAGGTGTTCTGGTTCTGAGTGCCAGGCTACTTTGTAACACCCACATGGCACCAAGGGAAGACCCAGGATGCCAATTCTAAGGCTTTTCCAAACCTGCCTTCCTTTCTTTGAAATAAATGGCAAGTATTGATCAGCAAAACCTTGCTGTTTTTCGCTTAAGGCCTTCAGTCATTTCTAATTATGGCTCTGCCCTGGACGGTTTTTTTCAAACTCATTTTACCAGGAAGTTGGCCTGGACAAGAGTTGCAGGGGCGAGGTCTCGCTGCACTGGCTTTGTGCCAAATACACTCCTGATGTGTGCTTTACCAGCGCTATCAGGCGAGGCATTTGCAAACCTTGAGTTTGAAAAGTGATAGAATCGGCCTGTTTCACAATTTTATCCCAAGGCGAAGACTCATAAAACTAACAGTGATAAGAATTTTTGGTACTTAAATGCCTGTCTGCGTGGCTGGCACTGTGCTAGATGCTTTATATGTGTTATTTCTAAACTTTAAAAAGGACTGCAAATGTGCCCATTGTATAAGTAAAAAAAATTGGAACTTGGGGGGGGGGTTTACATATATGTCACTAGCTTGAAGTTATATACTTAGCAAGTGGCGGAGTCAGTTTACAAAGTCACAGGACAGTAGTGGATTTATAATGCAGGCCCCTGTTTTCCAAATGAGGAAGGAGCTGCAGGGAGGTTGTGGGACCCTCCCAAAGCGACTCAGTTTATTAGTGACCAAGTCATAACCAAAACCTGGGTTCATGATTCAGTCAGTGGTCTGCTCTGTGTTACCCAATGCACATTTACCCCGGATGCCCTTATCTTTAGACAAGAGGAGAAGTCAGGGACTGGCCACCACTAGGTAGGTTCAGGGTGAGTGCTGGTCACAGGCAGGATTAGAGGGTTGAGACTTTCAGCCTTATTCCCACCCCAACCTCTGAACTGAGCCGTGGCGAGTGCTGTGATCGTGCATGCCTAAGCAATGAAGCCTCCCTGAAGACCCCAGAGGGTGGGTTTGGGGAGCTCCTGTGCAGCTGAGCACACACAAGCTCTGTGGCCCTCCCGGCAGACCCCACCCTGGGCTTCTCCTCCATCTGGCAGTTCACCTGCATCCCTGTGGTGTCCCTTGTGGTAGATAAACATAAGTAAGGTGTTTCTCTGGGTGCTGTGAGCTGCCCCAGCAGCTCAGTAGGACTTGAGCAGGGGATTGTGGGAGCCTCAATTTATACCCAATTGGTCAGAAGCAAAAATCACCACCCATGTTTCCAATTAATAACTGAAGGAGAGGTCAGTCTTGTGGGGCAGAGTCCTCGGGCTGCGAGATCTGATGCCATCTCCAGGTAGATGAGGTCTGGATTGGCCTGAACTATTGGACACCCAGGTATCTTCCTCTGTAGCATTGATTGCTTGGTGTGTGGGAGTCTGTGCATCAGGAAGTATTGTATAGAGTGGTCAGTGAGAACAAAGGAAGAACATTGGTTTTCCTTTTCCTTAAGCATCCATCACTAGACTGGTGGCTATCCTTCTAACACATATTGAGTTTAACATAAAGAACACAAGAGAGGAGAAAAATAAAAATTTTTAAAAAATGAGGCAAGCATTTGAAATGTTATAGCCTGAATATTTGTGTTCCTCCTCAAATTCCTATGTTGAAATTCTAACTCTAATATCATACTAGGAGGTGATACTAGGACTTGGGGAAGTGACCAGGTCATGAAGGTAGAGCTTTCGTGGATGGAATGAGTGCCTTTATATAAGAACCCCAGAGAGGTCCCTTTCTCCCACATAAGGACACAAGAAGATTGCCCTTTGCAACAGGAAGGGGTGACTCACCCAAATCCACTCATGCTGGATCCTAGACTCCCAGCCTCCAGAACCGTGAGGATCGATTTCTGTTGTTTCTAAGCTGCTAGCCTGTGGTCATTTGTTATAGCTGCCTGAACTGAGGTTACCTTCTAGCAGAGTTGGTAAACCTTGACTCAGGCACAAACATGACAGCCCTCGCACAGTAGGTACCTTACCAATCTTTCAAGGGTTACCATGGGGATGAAATGGTAGGCTATTCTGTCACGGGTGTATACTATACGCGGCCCAGAGCTGCTCTGCTCAGCCCAGCCCTGGTGCTTTTGCTCAGCAGTTAGCAATCAGCACCCCCACCCCCCATCAGTGCCCAGGCTCCTTCACTGTTCCTTAGACAGGTGCTATGGGCAGCCTCACTGCTGGACACAGTGACCTGATGGCTTTCGGGGCCACGTGGTTGGCATGAATTAATCCACCCAATCTCCATAACAATCCTGGGAGGCAGGTCCTACATTCAGCAGAATTCTTCTTACGGTGACTTAAACAATCGAGACATTTATTATCTAACTTGACAAGAAGCCTGTAGGGAAGTGATCCCAGAATTGTGCCAGGGCTTCAGCAGTGGATTGAGATCTGAGATTCTTCAGGTCCTTCCTTGTAACAGCACGACCACGGCAGGGCCAAACATCTCAGCTCACGTGACAGTATCACACTCTTATCAAGGAGGACAGTGGCGTCCAGTAGCTCATTGACCAACTGGGCCACATGATACCCCAACCACTACTTGGAGCTGTGAAGGGTCTTCTGACATGACATAAAAAGGAGCAAGAACAATGGGACGATGGAGTAGGGGAAGTGGAGAGGGGAAGTCACCTCCGCTTGTTTCTCAGTTTCTAATGTGGGCTACTGAAGGTACCCAGGTTTCTCAGTTCACCCTCCAAACAACTGGGTAAGTGATGTCTTTGTCAGCTTGGGCTGCACAACCAGTAACCGTGGACCGGGGGACTCAACACACAGACATTTATTTCTCATAGTTCCTCATAGTTCTGGAACCCCAAATTCTGGAGGCTGGAAGTCCAAGGTCAGGATGCCAACTGGTTCTGGTTCTGATGAGGGTGCTCGCTGTAGTTTGGATCTGAAGCGTCAGGTGCATCTCAAAGGTCCTTGTGTTAAAGCCTTGGTTTCTTAAAAAGACACTGTCCGGACTGGGTAGAACCTTTAAGAAGAGAAGCCCATGTGAGGTCTTTAGGTCTGAAGTGTCCTTAAAGGACATAGTGGGATCTCAGGTCTTTCCTCTTTATCTTTCTCAGTCTCTTTTGCTCCCTGGGCATGAAGTGAGCAGCTTTGCTCTATCACGTAATCACGCCATGGTGTGCTGCTTTCTGCAATCCCAAAGCAGTAGGACCAAGAGACCGTGGACTGAAACCTACACAACGGTGAGCCAATAAACCCTTTCTATTTATAAGTTAATCATTTCAGTTATTTGTTATAGTAACGTGAAACTGACTAACACAGTCCTCTTCCTGGCCTATAGACAACCACATTCTTGATGTAGCCTCTGAAGGTAGGGAGTGGGGTGGGGCGAGAGAGAGAGAGGGAGAGAGAGAGAAGATAGATTGATTCTTCTTATAAGGCTTCATGCCTATCAGATTAGGGTCTCACCTTAGGATCTCATTTAACCGTATTGCCTTCTGAAGACCTGGTCTCCAGATACAGTTACATGGCGGGTTAGGGCTTTAGCCTAGAGAGTTTGGGGAGACATAATTCAGAGGATGTGGGAATTAGGATCCCCATTTTATACACTAGAAGACTGAGACTCAAAGAAACAGTTATTTGCCTAAGGCCACCATTGGTTCATTGGTCAAGAACCCCTCTGCCTGGTTCTTCTTCAGCACTGGGGGCTTCAGGCCATCTTATAGAGCCTCTGGGATTCATGGAGGGGCCTCCAGACAGGAGGGGGAATTCGAGGGAGTCCTGGGAAGAGAGAGGCTGGGAGAGTGGGGTTTCTGCCCCTGAGTGGCCAGGCAGTGTTGAGAGCTGTCCGTGAAATGTGCGTGGACAAGGTAGGCATAGAAGCCATTGAGTGGGAAAGTCTGGTGCCTGGGAACTCAGATCAGCACTCCTCCTGATGAGGTGGCCCAAATACGTGTGGATTCCCGCCCAACTCTGCCAAAGATCCCACACACCACCCGAGACGAGACGCGGTAACCTGCTGCATGGGCACAGAGACACAGCCTCTCAGAGATGGGTGTGGCTTGCCAACATGCCAATCAACCTGTTGACGGCAAGACACCAGGAAGCAAGACTCCACCCACTGAAACCTTACCCCTGCCTTTGATGTACTCCCTGAAATAAAGAAGTGGAGCCATGTTTTTAGCTGTTCTGTTCCAGCTCCTGTATGGGCTTGGAAGAAACTGTCAGGTTCTCTGCTTTTAATAAATCTATTGTGTGACTCTGACTCTTATTTCTTCACTAATTATTTCAGACTTTATTTTTCTCAGGCGGCTTATCCCCTTCTGAGCAGGCAAAATTTACCCTAGCAGGGTGCTGGCTACCCTGCGGTAAGGCGGATCCTGGCCACCCAGAAGATGAGCTCTGCTCTGATCACCTTCGCAGGTTAGAAGTTGGCATCAGATTCCCCTGATAGAGGCCCTGGAGGAAGGGCCTGGAGCCTGGTCTCTTCCCACATCCAGGGCCTTCTCCAAAACAGGCCCCCGAACCCCAGGAGAGGTTTCCTAGGACTGCCATTAGCCATGGCCCCCCAACAACAGGAATGCATTCTCCCACAGCTCTGGAATCTGGAATCAGTCTCACTGGCGAGATTAGCTCCTTCTGGAGGCTGTGAGAGAGCCCCACGCGCCTCTCCCCTAATCTCTGGTGGCTCTAGACCTTCCCTGGATCGGAGGCCAATCTCTTGCCTCTGACTTTGTTTCTGGGGCTGCTCCTCTGCTTCTGCCCCAGAGCTCTTTCTCTCCTCCTGGTACCGTAGTTGATCTTGAATTCCTTGGCTTATTACACCTACAAAGACTCTGTTTCCCAATGAAACCACATTTATAGGTACTGGGAGTTAATAAGCTCTATGTCTGTCGGGAGGGACGCAATCACTGCTGTGGGTCATCCAGGTCACAGAATCCAAGGCCAACATGGCGGATCAGAAGGGACTTACTATGTGTTCCTTCTGGCCCTCTACAGTCCCTTCCTAAAACAATCGTTTTGTCACCATGCCTGAAGAACTCACGGTCATGGACCAAGTTCCTTCTGACCTTGTGGATGGGCAGCAGGAGGGCAGCAGAGGAGAGACGCACTCAGAGCCCGAAGGGCTGTCTTGGTACCCTGCGCGTGAAGGTCCATAAATGGCCTCCTTGACGTCTCCCACTTGAACAGGTCATCCAGCGCCTGAATGTGCCTGAGGTAAGTACCTGAGGTGTGACAAGGAAATTTATTAAAGAAAAATGAAAGGTTCGGTTGAACTCTCAATGGCTTTTTTGGATGCATCATCAGATGGAATTCAGAACGGGAGGGGCTGTGTGAGATGATGGAAGTGAAGTGAGCAGGGGGAGGGTGGGAAGCCCAATCCAGCTTGGCTTTATTTAGCAGGGTCAGCAAGGTCAGGAAGTCCAGTGGCCAGGGCCAGGCAGGACAAGAAACAGTCCTGTAGTGACCTGTCCTCACGCCCCCTCCGTCCTCCCACCTGCATCTCTTTAGCTGTTTGGGGAGGTCTAGGGGGTTCCTGTACTTTTCTGTCTCATCTAAGAAACTACGAGTGTGTTAAGTCGCTCATGTCCCTAATAGAGGCACCAAGAAAAGGGGGACCAAGGAGAAGCACCCAGTGAACGGATCTTCCTTTCTGGCAATTCCTAGGTACCATCATCAACTTGTAGATAATGGTAGAATTGGCATAAGACAAGCAATCACTTTTAGAGGGTATATAATTAATTCTTTGTTGTTGTTGTTTGCTTGTTTTTAAAGACAGGGTCTCTGGTACCTAGGCCAGCCTGGGGCTCCTGAGCTGAAGAAGTCTTCCTGCCTTAGCTAAGTGCTGGGACTACAGACACTGGCCAACCCTGGCTGTGATGAGTTTGATGAACCAAATCGGCTATTTATCCAACACAATTACCACAGGGAACATTTGTATCACCCAAAAAAAAAAAAACCCCTCTGTCCCCCTCTGTAATCAACAGCTTTTGAACAATCCTAGCTCCTGGCAATCACTATCATTCCCCACCCCCACCTCTGTGGTCGGACGTTTCCAGAAATCTTATAAATGGAACCATAGAGTGTAGAGCCTTTTGTATCTAGCTTCTTTCCTGTTGCATGGCACTTTTGAAGTTCATTTATTTATTTTTGTTGTTGTTTTTGTGGTACTTGGGATTGAACCCAGGGACTCACACATGCTAGGCAAGTGCTCTACGCCTGAGCCACATCCCCAGCCCTTCTTATTTTATTTTGAGACAGGATTTTACTAAGCGCCCAGGTTGGCCTCAGACTTACAATCCTCCTGCCTCAGCCTCCTGAGTAGCTGGGATTACAGGTGTGCTCCACTGCTCCTGGCTGTTGTGTTTTTTCAATAGCTTCTTTCTTTTTGTCCCCTGTTTGGGGCCTACATACTCAAATTTATCATTTTAGTCATTTTTAAGTGTGTAATTCTGTGACATTAGGCTCATTCACACTGTTGTGCGGCCATAGCCACCATCAGTCTTCAGGACTTTATCTTCTCAAACGGATTCTCTGTCCCCACTAACTGCCAACTCCTATCCCACGCCCCGGCTCCCTCTCCTTCAGTTTTAAGTGGTGGACACAGTGCCTGTGAGAGTGAGAGAGAAGGTGCTGGAAACCCAAACTGTGGCCTGCTGGTGCGCCCACCCAATCACTCCATCCCACGTGAGAATCACCATGCCTGGGCTCTTTGGGTCTGAACTGTAACGTGGAAGGAAGTGGCTTACCTATCACGTGGATGTCACCCATGAGAAGACAGGCACTCCTTCATGTGTGCAGTAATAGAGCAACGGATCCCAGTCGTCCCTGCCCCAGAGGGCATATGCTTTGAGGAAGAGTTGACAAGATGCTTTGTCCACCAAAGCCTTTGTCATTTCCATATCTCCAGGTCCAACCTTGCGTTCTACCAGGAAGGAAACTGTAGGGACAGCCAGAGTGGTTGGGGGTCGGTGTCCCTCAAGTTTCTGACCCATTTAGATGCCGCTGCTGTGGGGCTGGAGCCATCTGTGTGGCTCTGCAGCCACAGGGGGATTTAAAATCTGGACCAGGTCAGCAGAAGAGGCCCCCCTGGGAGCCATGCAGAAATAAATCCAGGTTGTACTGGAAACAGAGCCCTGTGTTGGCGGGATGCCTTAGGGAATGCCGAAGAGCCTGACTCGCTTCATTTGACAGCATGCGCTTCCTAAGCCCGGAAGCCTCGTGCTTGCTGAGTGAAACCATCGAGACGGCCGAGGGCCCCCCTGTCCAGGGAAAGCATCCTGAGAATGGGAATTTACTTCTGTCCCTTCCCTCTAAGCCCCAGGCCTTGGTGCTTCAAGACCATGTGGGGGTGAAGACATTTGCTGATGATGAGCGACACACATTAGCCACGCGGCCCCTCCAGGAGTGCCACGGTGGGGGCGGTCAGTGCACTGGGAGATGAAGGAGGGCTCCTATCCATGGGCACACCTATTGCTCCTGGGATTTTTCAATGTCATACGCAGAATCAGCCTGGGAGGGTGAGGGTGGGCTTGCCCAGAGACTGCCTCATCCGCTTTCATCTGCGACTCCAGAAACCATGACGTGCCCATGGTCGATCCCAGCATGTGAGGGGTGGGGTGGGGGAGGGAGGGGATCCTAACAGGAAGCACCTCTTGATCACACCGCCTTGAACTTTAAAATGGTATTTAAAGGCTTGGGGTGTAGATCAGTGATAGCACTTGCCCTGTGAAGGACTGGATTCAATTCCTGGCACCACAAAAATGAAATGAAATAAATCGTATTCAAGCGGCGAACCTGAATCATGAGGTTTCCCTGAAACCAAAGGAGACTGTAAATTCCACGGAGAAGACATTTGTGTTTTTTTTTTTTCTTTTTTTTTTTACGGCCGCATTTCCAGAACCTACAGTAATGCCCGGTACATAGGTGTCCACAAAACACCAGCTAGAATGAATGAATGAACCAACGGACAAACAAGAACTCTGCTAAAATGCGGGGGTCAGCATGACAGTGAGAACTCAGATTTCAATGCCTTTGAAGGCTGTTTAGACTTTTGTAACCTCTTTTGAGGCTGCAGGTGAAACACACAGCATGCAGGTTCTGCAAGAAAGACTCCCAGGGGCTCACCGCTCAAAACCCACCTGAGTGAAGACAGGGCGTTTGGAGCAGATCACACTGGCACCAAGGGTGTGTTGGGTTGATCTCAAGACAATAGGAGACCAGGGGTTGGAATGGCTTTATCAGGTCCAAGGTAAGTGTCTTCTTGATAGGCTTGTGTCCTGGCAGGGAAAAAAAATGGTATTAGGACAAATCAAGGGGCTCTTCACCAAAGGCTCAAGAGAAACCTGCTAGGATTGGGGAAGGCTCCAAGGCTAGCAACAGAGGGAGCTGGTACTGCCTGAGACCTGAAGGAGCAAGGGCTGCCATGTTTCCAGAACCCAGAGAGGGAGGTTAGAGGAGATGTCCACCTGCAGGTGACATGGCCCTCAGCAGTCCTCCCGTGGTCTGGCATGGAGAGAGGCTCCTACTAACATGACACCAAACCCTTGATATGTCCCATGATTCAAGACGTCTTGCAGCCACTTACTGACATGCATTCACTTTGTAGTCACCAAAGCTCTTTAGGGGTTTTTCCTCTAAGAGTAAAGTAAAAACTCGCACAGTCTTGGGACCTCTCGTTTGTGACTTGTGGGTGGACACATGGTTTGAAGCCTGAAAAGAGGGACTCTAGTGCTGATGACCTAGTATTTCTGTTACTGCAAATCCTGGATCATTTTGTGGCAGTAATATGCAAAGTTTTAATGCCAGAAGACTTTCCTAGCCACTGGGTGAATAAGTCACACTGTAAATCACACATGATTTAAACGGAGGATGGGGAACGCTCAGCAGAAGTCTGCCTGGGGAAATGAAGGCACCTCTCCTCCTCTACTGCCTTAGAAGCTCTAATCAACTCTCAGCTAAGACTGCAGCCCTCACCCACATCTTGATTGCAAGCTCAGGAGAGATCCCCGAGTCTCTCTTGTAAGGCCTACGTTGGACATTTGTCATCTGTTGTGGCTGCTGAGTGTTTGAGACCCTTTTTTAAGGGAATTCCTTCCCACGTGGGTCTGGGTAACTGAAAGGCCAAATACTTGCTTTCTGTAGCAAAGACTCATAGCTGATTACTAAACCCATTTCCCAGCCCCCCTTTGCTATTAGGTCATGTGATTGAATCCTGGCCAATGGCATGAAGCCACTCATAGGGCAGACCAATAAGATCTCCCACATGTGACCCGCCCCCCCTTATCTTCTTCCTCAGTCTTTGAATGTTGATGCCCTGGTTATATGTTGAAGTTGATGGAGTCTTTTTTAGCCTAGATCCTTGTAAAATAGTCTGGATTAGAGTCCCTGACACCCTCTTGTTGGGCATTCTGTGAGGTTCTTGGGCAGGATCAATTTCTAGAGCTTGCAACTTAGAATTCAGACTTATATAGCATCAATAAAAATGATCGACCTATAAAGAATTTATTTTATGGGTAAATTGAATTGTTAGCCCGGAATATGGCGATCACTGTAGCTCTCCATAATTCACACGGCGCTCGTGGGAATTGTTAACACAGCACCATTGGCTGTTAGCTGTGACTTGTGGCCTGGAATTAATTCTGACTTTGAAAGCCTGTCTACAAGGATAACAGGTCATATATCAAACCCTTTAGACTGGTTTTCTGGAGAGGGAAAGGGAAGTAGAGATCAGAGAAGGAGAAGAAGAGTATAACAAAAATAGTAACGAGAGAGCAAACCCACAGCTCCTACTACGCGCCTGCCAGAGTGCTAAGGGTTCTGTGTGTAATAACTAACCTGACCCTCACAGCAGGCTGCTGGTGGTCGTATCACTGTTGCTTCTGTTAACAGAGACCAAGCATGTCACCGAGCTAACACTAAGTGGTAGAGCCAGGGTTTGAAACGGAAGGTTCTTAATCACAGCTACTGACAACAATTAAGGACTGAGGAGTCTAACTCAATTTTCTGTGTCCTTGAAGCACAATCAGAACAACTAAAAACAACTAAGAAAATAAAATCCCAGCTAGTGATACTTGGCAGGGTACTTGGAATAATTTGTCCGAAGCACTTAATGTTCCCTCAAATATCACCAAGAATCTTTATTTCATAGGTCATTTCAGGCCAAGAAGTTGATTGTGGATGATTTTTCAAAATGGCCTGAAATGCTCCCAGCTGCCTCCCTAGTCTGGCCTCAGCCTGGGTGTGTGCCTCAGTTATTTGCAACACCCAGGTCGTCAGAGCCAAGATGTTCTGAAAGTCACCTGTTTACCCAGCTGAGCTGTGTGGACAGGAAGTTTGTCCTAGGGAAGTCGCATGCCTCATCCTGGCTGACCAAAAGGCTGAAGGGAGAAGGTGGGCACTGGGGGGGGGAGGGGCCCCAGCTGGATCCATGGGAGAGAGAAGAGGATCGCTGCCAAGCTGTAGAGGACCTGAAGGTCTTGCACGGCCTGGGGCTGGCAGGGCCAGTGCTGTTGGCTGGAGCTTATCTGGGGATGTCAAAGGAAGAGCTTTGGAGGAGGAGAAGCCATGTGGGGCTCATGTGAGAAACATCTACAGATGTATCCTGGGATCCAGGCCCTGGCTCTCGAGTCTGTCTCCCACCCTTCATGGGCCACTAGAGCATTTCCTTTTGGACTATTTGCAGTGGACTTGGCAGCCAGGCCTCCCTGAGCCACAGGGCACGGGGACCCTCACTTTTAGCCTGTGGGAGTGCCTGATATTCTATACAGGGGAAGCTTCTGGAAAGTGAAAACTTCTGTGACCTGAAAGGTCTGGGAGCTGCTGGGGGGGGGTGTGGTCTAGGCCAGGGGCTCGGCTCCTTGGACAGCGTTGGAGCCATTACAACTGCGGCGCAGAGCAGTTGAGGCTGGGGAGGGCCTGATGGTGTCCCCTCCTGCCACCAGCCTGCTCTCTGTTCCCTCCATAGCTTGCCACTCACCAGAAATAGAGGCGAACCCTGTTGGATGTTTCCAATGCACATGGCTCTCCAGGGAACAATCGGAACCGTGTCCTGCACTGTGCTGCCCCCTGCCCCATGTGTATCTTCCA